GACGGCGTACAGTTTCAAACAACTCCGCGCAACATCCTTGCTACGCATATGGTCAATATATGCGCGAGAATGAGATTGTCAATATATTTGGATGTCAGCTTGAGTAGGCGATAATTCGCAGTGGTTGATAGCTTGTCATGGTCGTCTCGGACACTTTTGACAACAAATAAAGCACAAGATCTTCATAGGTGGATTTTGGTGAGGCAATGAATTTCCCGTGTAGTTCTCATTATAGCATTGTTTTAGTTGTACACTGGATGGTGTGGTTTGTTGGAAGCCTTACACAACAGAACGCTGTTTTAGCTCATTTATCTGAAGACGAAGTCTCGATAATCACGTCCGATTCCGATGATCAAAGTCGACTCCACAATCGGACTCCACAAAGACCTCGGATAATCCGAGGTCTTTGTGGAGTTGGCCATCTAAAAGTAGGCATGTGAGGATAGACTATGTATGTCGATGGGCATCGCTGTAAGTGGGAGAGGAAGCACCAAGTTGCTGCCAGCAACGACATGCCTATGGCAGAACTGAAAGTGATAGGCTTCCCCAAGACGGCTTAAAAGGCTCATTGGTTGCTGTCCGTCTCGGAGCTCGGATTTGTATTATACCTGATGCTGGCATTAACATGAGGGCGTTCATTGGCGCCTGTGTGGACATGACCCTACTGACTGAGTATCACCATGTGCCTGTTCTATTCCTCATAACCCCCGAACTGTTATTGGGTTGTCAATAGTGCCCCTGTATGGGCAGCATCTCGAGAGGATAGGAGGCTTTTGGTAACACCACATGTTTTAGTAACACACACACAATGCAGTGTCTCAGTGTGGATGGACTGGACACGGACATATCGTGATATCAGCCAATGAGAAATTTGGTGCAAGTCGTCGTAGTGTCGTGGCTGGGAACATATGTGTGGACTCTTCCGTTTCGTTGTATAGACAAGAATTCCATTTGGTTACCAACTCCAAGAAGTGGCGCCGTAGCTCTGCTCTTCTTGCAAGTGCATTATTTATGGCGTGCGCTTTTCGCAGCGCAGAAACGAAACGGCTGGGGCGAACCGCTGTTTCTAATCAACTTTCATCACCAACTTCATATTCTATCATCTCCAAGCATGAGCTCAGAAGCCCCAGCAGCCACTACTACTCAGCCCACTACAATCTCTGCTTATCAGCAGCCTATGTACAATGTGGTCCAACCTCAAGGTGTGTCCTATGTACCCTCTGAGTTCCAAGCCCCGCAAGTGTAGGTTCTCTATCTGTGCGTTTAGAATTCCGTTGCTCGTGTTCAGGTCTATGGATCCTGAGAGCATCAAGCACCAGAAGACTCAGAGCCTTTCTATGCTCGATAGCCAGCTGAACATGGCCATGCAGACTTGCAAGAGCGACTATGAACAGGCCAAGCAGCAGATCTCTCTCCGTGCGAACTTCGACCTCCAGACCGCTACCGGTGCCGTTGAGCAATCTCGACAACAAGCCCTGTTCGCCCTCGATCAGCAGCATCAGCAACGACGAATGGAGATTGAGCAGAGAGCTCAGAACAGCGCATGCAGATCGAGTCTACTGCTAGCCAGTTGTGCATGCAG